TGTGGAAGATGGTAATTTACCAGCTTTAAGTTTGCGCTCAGGTAGAGTGATTAAACTCAATCCAGGAGTTGATGGAAAAGTGCGAGTTCCAGACATGAAAGCTATGAATCGTGTACTTAAAGGCTCTGTCAGCAAACTTTCACCGTTGCCACGTTGTCAATATGAAAATTAATGACTCTAATATTTTATTCTTAATTTTATAATTATAATTAATTGTTTAATTTTAGTTTTGTGTCCAAGTATCGTAAGTATTTTAATAATTTTCTCTTTCAGCCTGCGGTAATTTTGAAATTCATGTCTTAACATTAAATTTTAACGCGTCACTCAATATTTTTTGACAATCTTCTTTACTAGTATTACATATTATACAATGGTTGTAAATTTGAAACATCTGATGAGCAAGTGCTCATCGCAGGCTAGCATGTTCTGAATTAATGAGTTACTATAAGTCGCGTTGTTGCTCCAAACGAATTTCTAGTATCACAGGAGTTGAATCATGCAACTCTTTGTAACAGACGCTAATGCTTGAAGCATCAACACTTAATATGTCAACGTTTATGTATCACTAACCATTGTTCAGTGTTGGCTTCCGTCCAAATGTGAATGCCTACTGCGGGCTGTGTTATATCCTAGTAATAATACAGTATGTGAACTCTGAAAAATTTATTGAAATAAGAACAACACACAGACGACATTCAACCACCTCTCTGGTTACGATGAAGTAATACAAGATCTCTCATTAGTGCACACCAAAAGGAGAAGAAGACGTAAGTTTTTATTTCAAAGTTTATGTAAAAATAATATTGATAAAAAGTGGACTTATTCACTATGGCTTCTGAAATTATTATGCAGCATATTCAGAAGCTTATTCCATTTAAATTTATACAAACGAGAAAATGTCAAAAAATGAGCTTAACCACATTGGCTTCTGAGCGATCCCCCCCCTCATATATATATCTACCAAATAACATGTAAAGAATGTTCCGTCGCATATATAGGTCAAACAAAAACCCTCTCAACCTCAGAATTAATAACCATAGATCTCATATAAAAAATTTTAAAAATAACAACACAAATCTCACAAAAGATAGGCAACGTACTGCTATTCTTGAGCATTTTCATATACATAATTTTGATAACATTGAAATTAGTGTGCTAGATGTTGTACCGGACACTTAAATTAAGACTGTTTAAGGAATCCATTTACATACTTCAAAAAAGGTCACTTTATCCTTACGGACTTAATGCCTATTTAAGTAATACCACCAATAAGCATTCAGAAGTTTCTATGTATGGACAATTCAGATTTTTTAGCAATATTATTACCAGAGGATCATGAGGAGGTAATTCTAATAACAAAAATTTTCTTTCAACACAAGATCTGAAATTAATTATTAAAAATCTAAATTCCTTCCTAGAAAATAAAGCGTTCGCAAAAAATTCTATAAAACTTCTTCATACCTTTAAGAATATTACCTTATGGAATCTTATTAAAATACTTGATCAACAATCTCAATGTTTCCAAATAGTCAAAGATCTGATAATAGACTTTTGCAATTTTAAACTAAAGAATAGTAATTTTTTTCAGAAAAAAATTTTTTGTACAATACAACTCAAGCACCCTTCTTACAATCAGTTAAAATTTCCAAGCATATTTAAAAAATATCAACACTTGCTACCTGACCAACAACTTCAAATTAAGCCCTGTTTTAAATTTGAAAAGACCTTAGGTCAGCTTGTTATCAACCACCACAATATTAAAGGAGATAGTATATGTCATTACCAACTTCCTATCTACAATAAATATGTAGATCCTTATCACCAACATATTGTTACTGGAGATTTCAATATCATTGAAGATAGACAATTGCGAGACCTTATGCAACTTGGCACTAAATTTCGTCATACTTTCAGTATTAATAAGCACTTTAGCCTTAAACAATTCAATAATGATCTTGATAAATTTATCATTTTAGCTAGTAATAAATCCAATTTACCTACTACTACTTTTCTTGAATGGAAAGCTGCACTAATTAAAGAATTTCAGGTTATGCTTTTTAAGTTACCCAATTTCAATTATTTACACAATAAAAAGCATCTAGAAATTCTTATTCAGAAACAGCAAGATAACTTTATCACCACAAAGATTGACAAAGCTAGCAACAATTTTAGTGTTATTTGAAAAAAGTTTTATTTCGACTTTCTAATAATGAATTGAATAACACTTGCACCTACCAAAAGATTACTACCAGCACTAAGATTCTTCTCAATAAATTTAATGCACTACATAAAAAACTTAAAATCCTTCCCCGGGAAATATAATAACAGATTGGCAAATCTATATGCACTACCAAAATTTCACAAGACTCCGATCAAATTTAGGTTCATTGCCAATAGTGCCAAAAGTTATCTTAAAGAAATAGATTATCTCTTTGCGCAAAAACTAGTTTAATACATGGCCTTATTAATAGTTATGATTTTAAAGATCTACATTGCAACTGGATGATTTCAAGTAACGAACAAGTTCTAAATACTTTAAATACACTTAAAATAGAACATATCCAATGCTACGAGTTTGAAAACCTCTATACTACTTTAACACTTGAAGAAATTCATAAAAGTTTACTTGCTCTTCCTGAATTATTTCCACAAATTTCTACAATAATGAATACTGAAAAATGGCAACTTTTTCTTTCATGCGTACTTTTCAATAATTTTATTCAATTTAACAACAACATCTTAAAACAAATACAGGGAATTCCAATGATAGCTAATCTTTCAAGTTCTGTCTGCAAATTATTCCTTTTTACAAAAGAATTAACTTTTATACGTTCACTCATTAAGGAAGATCATAAATTTTACGAACACATCTTTCGATATATTGATGATGTAATAGCCTTCAACAATTTCAACAAGATAGAAAATGCTAATATCTACCCTTCATGCCTAAAACTTAATACTACAAATACCGTGCAACATAATATAGTCTACCTTGATTTGCATATTATAGATTACAATTTTTTAAAAGTCTATGACAAAAGAAGAGAATTCAACTTTTCAACACTTAAATTAACCAACTGGAATTCCAATATTTCTAAAAGAGTCATCCTCAACGCAATTTACTCACAGCTGCTTAGAATTAAAAGAATCTGCAATACAGCAAAACACCTTGAAGAAGAAATATTATACTTCGTGACAATTTTGAAAAATAACCTCATTCCTCAAAAAATAATTTAAAATACTTTAAAAAAAGCTGGCATTAGCATTACCAATTTTTAGATTTTTTGAGTTAGATAATGAAATTTTATACTTAAAGCCCAATGGAACGGTATAAAGTGGATGGCTGATTCTGAAGATCTAATGTATAAATGTACAGATAATTCTTGTCACAACGTCTTTTTTCCTCTTAAAATTTGACACAATACTTTTAATACTATTTTTAAATAGCTTTTAAAAATACTTTGATGGCCAATTCTATTCTGTTCTTAACTAACGGGCGGTTTTCGTTTCTGGCAGCTTGAAAGCCTTCTAGCTTGAAGAATTACGACTTTAATTAACAAATTACTATTTTTTTCATTATTTCTCTTATTTAAGAAGCCATTTTAGGTATTTTTTTGCTGAATTAGCCATTTTCACTTTTACCCAGTCCATTTTCCTCAAACTACTATGACAAGACGCCATTTTGATCTTTTTCCACATTTTTCAACGCCTTTCACCCCCCTTTTGCTATGAGTCAGGTTGCCGCCAACGGACAGTCACTTGGCATTGGCTATTGCCCAGTGACATGTTTTTCCCCCTTTCTACGTCATCCGACAAGTTGGAGGGCAATGGAAGCGCTTGGGGGTTTGCAAGCGCTTTTCGAGTTTCCACGTCACCAAAGAAGACGGCTTTGTTCCAGGTCTGATTTTTATAATTTTTTCTCTAAAAGTTTTTCTAGGTCTTGGCAAGATCCATGCTGCTTGTCGTCTTATTTGTTATTTTTTCCTTTTGGATTTAAATATAATTTACGGTTCCTTTGCAAGTTTTAATTCTTTAAGCTCGCAGGTCCAACCCATAAGTTCTTGTATATTTTGACTAATAGCATACCGCTATTTATTTATTTATTTTTTCTGTACATCGGAATTGCCTTTCCATTTTTTACACCTTACTGTTTTAATATATGCGGACGCGTCGAGAAATTGGAACAGAGAATTGAGACTAACGTTTTTTGACATAGTTTATTTAATTCATTAAAAATTTGTCGTACAAAGTTTCAATTGTCTGTTCCGGCGAAACGCGTAATGGAGTTGGCTTGGTTCGAAGTTCATTTTTAAAAAATTTCCCTTGAAAAGCCAAAATGAACTTCGAATTGGGCTAATTAACCATTTACCGCTTCTTAATTTTAATATATTTTTTTTTATTTTACCTTGATCAGTTGATTAGTATTTTACTGTGTTTTATAATCTACTTTTTTCGTTTAGCATTTAGCCTACTATCTTTATTCTACCTCGTTCAACTGATTTGTTTTTTTTTACTGTGTTAAAAATTACCTAATTTGTTTAGCATATAGCTTTTTTATTAATTTAACTTGTAAATATTCAAATATTTTTTCTCCTCTTTCACACATTTCATAGCAACCAAATATGCTTATGTTGGAGTTTTCACGGAACCACAGTTTTCGGTAACTTTTTGGCGTGCTTACTAAAATTTATCTTCTAATTTTCTTTAATTTTGCAGCACAATGTGCAAAATTTTGACCAATATTGGTCTTTTTTCGTTTGTTCTTACAACCTTACTTATAATTATATATATATTTGTAATAACTATTTCAGTTAGCTGTCCACGTAAGTGGCTAGTCTTATAAAACAAAAGAACGAAATTACAATACAAAAGTATGATAAATTTCTGAGGGACAGGTAAATAAATGTATTGTTAAATAAGCACAAACGGAATCCATTCAATATATGCAATTTGGAAAGATTAAGAATTAAAATTACAATTCATAGAAAAATATCTCGTACCTCATTCTCAAATTTCACAGTTGCTGACCACGTCCCAAATATAGCATGAGTTGGAAATATGTATTTATGACTAGTGAAAGCAGTCCTAGGTTTTTTATTATACGTTGTTTCTTCGACAACAATATTTTGAGGATTCTGAAAGAAACAAAAAATAACTTACATTTAATATGAAATATATTGTTAAAAAACGTGGATAATAATTTTATTAATGCAAAAAATTTAAGCATTTAGTTTCTATTATAATACTTAGGGTTTTTAATTATATTTAAATTACTTGCGTTACTTAAGTTTTTAAAATAATGCATTACATATATGCATTGCGAATTGCAAATTTTACGCCTACAAAAATAAAAAAAACTTAAGAAGTATCATAAGCTAACTGTAAAATATGAAATGCATAATGATCAGTGGCCTGTCGTCAGTGGACTACAATAGGGGTTCCCAAAGGAATCATTATCAACACCCTGGAGGTCAATGAAATTTTAAAGGCGTCTACGATGATCAAAAGGGGTCCATAGCTGAATATGTACGGGTAGTTAATTGATCTGCAAAATGCAGATTCTATTGATTACAAAAAAATTATTAATACTGTAAAACCGATCATGAATTATTTATTGATGGAGAGTTAGACCATAAAATAAGGAAGAAATCACATAAAATAACGATGAGTAAAAAAATATTCAATACAATTTAATAATCGATAATATTTTTAAATATGCACATATTTCATGCAAAAAGTGCAATAGAAAAAAACAAGAGCACACGAAAACACAAACAAAGAAGTGCGGAGAACGCAAAACTTCCTCAGATTAGAATATATATTGTTTTATATAAGCCACTTGTAAAATTAAAAAAAAAAAAAAAAAAGGATTTTAATGTTTGCTTCCAAGATACTGAAAATTTGAACTTACCAGTATGACTCACAGAACTACGATGTATTTGATCTTAATTATGATGCAAGAAGTGTTGACTGCACTCAAAGAGGATGTTCAAGAGCAAATCTGATTCGAAACACTTGTGTACGTTAGATTTAAAAATTTAAAAGTCGTACGAGAGGAATATCTCAGAATAATAGTTACCCGAACCAACATTATTGACTTTTCTCCTTTCTTACCTTTGGAAGCAGGCTTAAGTGAAGTTAATAATTCATGACAGAAAGCAAGAAACATGTCAAATATTCAGGAATGAGATGATTTAAGAATTAAATTAAGCAAATTCATGCGAAGTACTTAAAAACATGCATTAACACATCAAGCGCTGCCATTACATTTTTAAAAATCGAGTTTATTTATATTTCTAAAATTTGATTTGTTCATATTCTTAGTCTAATTGTTACATTTGAGTTATTTATATGCAATTATTTACACTCATGTCCATAAATTAAGGATAATGCAAAATCAGGCAAAGGAAGAGTTAGAAGCAAAACAAATTTCACTTATTTGTAAAGCTTATTTATTAAACAAAAGGTAAAGAGCAAAAAAAGATGCTATATGTTGGATATTATTAAAAATTATTAATCGAGCTTGTATTGTTGTGAATATTTACTCGCAGTTATTATCTGTGTCTAATTATTTAGTTTTATACTAAGGATGTAGTACCTTACTTAGTACTATTTGTACTAAACGTTTGCACTGAGCACAATATGTACATATTTTTTTTAATTTTTTTACCTTACCAAGGAGCACTGTACCTTAAGTATATACAAACAGGTATTATGCTTAATAATGTATGTTACGGAAATCAGTCCGCGCTCATATTTTATCGTATTTTTTAATTCACTTAGTACCTTACAAGGTATTTCTCCAGCCTTCTTGGCATTCCTTCGTGGTGTGGGGGTCTGCACACTGGGTGCGTATTCCAGAGGTCCGCGTTTCGATTCCCGGCGAAGGCGTTGCTAAGTTTTCAGTCTCTCTTGCCGGCTTCCAAAAAATACCTAATGTCTCTACAGTGGCGCCCGAAATAAAAGGGTGTTTGATGACGATTCTCCTCACCCAGGATTTGGCGATTGTGTCCCCTAAAACGGCCTTCGCAAAGATGCAAGTCGCCCTTTAAAAGGGGGAGTATATAAGGTATTTCTCCCGCCTTTCTTAGCATGCCTTCGTGGTGTGGTGGTCTGCACGCTGGTCGCGTATTCCAGGGGTCCGCGGTTTGATTCCCGGAGAAGGCGTTGCTAATTTTTCAATCTCTCTTGCCTGCTTCCAGAACAAATAATGTCAACAACTAATGTCTCTACAACCTAACATGACATTTTCTATGTTAATGCAATTCTTGGAGTTCAGCACTCATTTAATGTATTTGTAATTACTATTAGTGCATAATATGGATATAAGAGTCTGCAATATTGCCAGTATAACTTGCTGTTAGTTTTTGCACGATATAAACCCAACGTGTATAAATGCACAGTTTTATTAACCTACTTTGTAATTTGTTTTGTTTCATGATTTATAATGTATAAGTATTTGTTCAGATTTTATCTTTACATCTATATGTATATCTATACTCTATTATATTTGTATGCCTAACATATATCATAATAGTGAAAAGTAACTAAAAAATATATTGAACTTCAACAGCAAATCCCATAGGAATAAATCTTAAGCTCTCCATACAGCAGTACTCTGCATGGATCTCAAAAATGCGTTTGACTCCGTGTGGTGGCCTGGTATCCTTGAAGCCTAGCGCCACAGTAAATGCCCTCAAAACATATTCAAGCTAATAAATAGTTTCCTAACAAATGGAGCAACGATAATCATCAGCAACAACTGCATAGTAGAAAGAAGAATAATAAGGGGGGCGTCCACAGGGCTCTTGTCTAAGTGCAGACCTGTGAAACGTCACCTTCAATTATATCACCTTCTACAAATGGCCGGACCATACAAAATTCGTCGTCTTTGCCGACGATGTGTCATTTGTAACAAATGGGCATTCAAGAGACAGCCTAAAAAGAATAGTAATGAGATTCTCTCCACTTTATATTCTTTCACCGTCAATCAAAAACTAATAACTTCAGAGACCAAATCGGAAATTATTTTATTTCCAAAACCGTGCAAATCGCTACAAAGGCTTCCTTGCATTAAAATGAATAATACAAGAATCAAGATCTTAAAAGAAATAAAATTTCTTGGAATGAAAATTGACCAAAAGTTTTCTTGGATCCCACACCTGATGGACATTCGGAAGAAGACCCAGACTATTTCTAGAGCCCTCGCAAGGATGCAAGGCACAGCGTGAGACCTCAAGTCGAGGATGCAAAACATTCTTTATAAAACCGTGATCGAAAAAATAATCCTCTATGGGGGCATCAGCATGGACTCACCCCATGACAGTGAGAAAAAACACTCTTAGCTTCGATTCAACGCCCCTTCCTCTTACAAATAGCAAAAGCATACAGAACTACCTCAACGGCAGTACTCTGTGTATTAACAGGCATCCCACCCCTCCATCTGAAAGCAAAAGAAGATGCAGACTTTGCCACGTTATTCCACCTCGAAAAACATAGAAGATCAAGACCTGTGCCCCCTTGATTTCGAACAGCCTCTAAATCCTTACATAAGACACCCTGCAGTATATGCAAAACTCATATCTACAAAAGAAGAAACCATCATTGTATCTACATTTCCAATAGTGTACACAGATGGGTCAAAGATAAACGAAGAATTAAAATGCGCGTTCTTAACACTCCTCTCAGAACAAGAAACAACAGAAGGGAAGGGACATCTAAGAAACAACAACAGCGTTTTCCAAGCTGAGCTTTCAGCCATAAAGCATGCTATTCTATGGGCTCATCAAAGGCATTTAACATGCGTTACCACTACAGTGAAAACCAAGCGGCAGTTAAAGCTGTTGATGATGCAAAAAAACTAATTATGTGTAGTACAAGATATCTACGATTTAAAATCACAGCACAACAGGACGTCTATAAAAATAAAATGGGTAAAAGCGCATGTAGGAAAAGTCCAAAATGAAAGGGCAGATGCGCTTTCTAAGAATGCAGCTCAAGACCCATCTCTGCCTTCAATGTCCCATTCCCAAAATCGTACGCGAAACGTATTTTGAAAAAAATTACATTAAAGAAATGGCAAGCTGAATAGCAAAATGCTGAAGTCTACAAAAAAACCCACATATGATCTAATCTGAATGTAATTTCTTTATCAACATCTTTTTATCTGGACATGGTCCTTTCCCCACATACTACTTTGCACGAAATCTGAGAGATTCAGACAAGTGCTCATGTGGGGAAAATGGCTACCCACAGTACTATATCTTCAAGTGCCAGTTCACAAAAGAGCTACACTGCAAAGAAAGGTCACAAATTACGCCTAAGTACATTAAATGCTTACTAACGATCCCTCAATTACAACAAAAGATTTCCTTGATTATGAAGAAACATTTCTGATACAAAAGAGAAGACCTATGTCAAGATGGCTATCACGTCTGTATAAATACCACTTATTCCAGAACTTAAAAAAATAATGCAAGATTTCAGAAATATTGCAAATGCCTGAAACAGACTAAATATGATATGAATTGTTTTTACAGAATAATTACATCAAGAATTTGTACTGTATTAGGAGATGAGGTAAAATCTTACAATAATTAAATCATTAATTAAACAAAATAATTTAATATATAACGTAATTAGACATATTAATGTAAATATAAGTATTATATGATTTTTCTAATGTATATTTTCTGTAATTATGATACATTAATTTGCAGAAATAATGTAAGACTTCAGTAATGATGCCATTGTGTGTAACATGATAAAAAATGAAAGGAAATAATAAGATACCTTAGGATAATAATAAGATAGGAAATAATAAGATACCTTAGATTACCTTAGGAATACGACAGTCTACTAGGAGATGCACAAAACAAAATTCTTCACTAATTAGTTTCTTAAAAGGATGTTTAATGTAATTCGATGTAATTAGATATACTAATGTAAATGTATTGGTTGTGTGAAGTACAATGTACAATGAATGTTTTTATTATGTATGTTCGAAGTAATTATGTTATATTTATCTGCTATAATCCAATTTTTGTTAATCGATTAATTTCTTTGTAATAATTATATACCGTGTTTTTGTAATTGTATATACAATACGTAAATTTAGAATTAATGTAAAGTTTCC